ATGCATATGTGGATGCTGTTAGGAATAAAATTATTAAATAAAGCTGTTTTTGTGATTTTTACATACACATTCCAAGTGTGCTCATTAAGAGCTTGCACTCCGTGTAGTAAAGGTCAGAAGCATTAGTTCAGATTGATTGAATTGAACTATTGAGATTGATATGTTGAGTTGCAGTGGGATTGCAAATATGCTTATAGATCATAACTAGTTAAAGTCAGGGGGATATTTTTCTTGGCCAAGGGAGTGTGAACAGAATGTCTCAGACTTAGCTAGCAATTCTCAGCCTGTTATTTTCTACTTATTAACTAATATTAATACAGCAAGGTTAGGGAGCGAGGTGTTTTTCTTTCTGTCTTTTTCCAGGAAAAGGAGCAGGGTCGAGACGATGAATGAAGTGCAGAAGAATATCCAGTCAGAGACGACAGGACCGGCCGCATTGTTTTTCAGGAGAAGATCGTCAAAATAATATTTCTTTTTGTTGTGATATAGAACTGCATTACCCCATCATCATCGTCATCCCCTTTGTGAAGCAGATCGTTGGTTCACATTGATTCCAGCGTGCTGTAACTTGTAATTTCAACTGCTGAAACAAATTAAATCTTTTAAAAGACAGTCACTCTCCTGGATTCCTGAAGGAAAGAAACAAAGAAAACAATGTCTTGTAATCTTTTTACCTTTTTTTTAAACCATTTTTTGAGCACTTAATTTACACCTTAATTTACACCATGCTTTGTTTATGGTCACACAATTTTCAAAAATTGTGGAAACACCCCTGCTTCGCTTTCACCCTCTAGCTCATTAGGGTGGACACTCTCCCTCTCTAACTGGTTCGTTAAGTAAGGAGGTTCTGCAATTTTAAATGTTTACGCAATAAGGATCACTAGATTGCTAGGGTCTGCTCCTTACTACATAAAGCACATTGAAATGCGAAGTGTTGTAAAAGAGTACTATATAAACAAAATTGAATTGAAAACTGCATACTTGGAGGTGCATACTTCCATCTAGTAAATACACAGTAGGGAGTGTTCATCACTGCTACTTCTCTGGGCATCAGTACAGCTCGTATCTTTTCTTCCAATTGTTCTTCACTCTTTTCCCTTCTGAGAGTTGCAGTGCTTTGGTGAGAGCCACAATCTCTGGCACCTGATCTGAGGCTGGCTGTGTAATTTTTCCCTTTTCCGTTCCCTTTCTCTCCCCTGTAACAACATCAGTCTGTATACAAGGTGAGATCCGGATGCTCCAGTGGTTCAGTTCGTAGATCTGATGTAGATGCAGGTAATTCTTCATAATCTATTTCATCCTGTGTGTCATAATTATCCCTCTGGCTTCTGAGTATCACTGGCGAACCATATGACCAATCTTAGTCACTCATCCTCTCATTTCCTCAGGGCTGCTGAACTCCAGTTGAAATCCCCTGATGTGGAGGAATCGGCATAGACCAGGGCCTCAACGACCACGTGCCCTCCTTACCTGAGATCTGTGGTTACATCCTCTTTGGCAGTCATATTGGGCCAATCTGTCATTAACTTATTTAATCTCTTGGTCCCCTCCTTCAAAAAGAACCACCTTCTCTCTTGCTCACACTGTTCACCAGCATCCTGTTGTTTTTCCTTCCTCTGCATCAGGTTCTCCCATAGGTGTGACATCTATTATCCCTGAATTCAACTACTGCCTGAGCTGTAGACCAGCGTTCCCATGTGTGGTGTAATATTTTGGCAAACTCACACAATCAGGTAATTCTGGGTAAAGTTTGGGCACAGTACAAACTCCATGTCTTGTAGTCAGCAGTCCAGTTCTTTGTTATGTGGTCTTCACCTTGAAACTTGTAGTCTGGACTTTTACTTAGTCCAGTAGCACATATCTACGGTCGTCACCATGTGCTCTCGCTTGATATCCATTTCATCCCTCCTTCCTTCCATTCTTTCTGTGCTTGCTCATATTCTCCTAAGGAGTGCAGCCAAATACCCAGGCTGCACTCCAGGGCCCGTATCCCTAAAGAATCTTTGTGCAAAAAGTGGCTCCTAGCGGCCAAATTCTAAGAAAATTCTCAGAGTCATGATGTTTTCTTAGAATTTCCCCTAAAAGTGACACAACAATCCCAGTTAATATAAAAGTTATCCCTCAAGATTCCTAGCGCTTAAAAGGGCTCCTAAGGCGAGATCTGCTAAGAGCAGGGAAGAGGACTTTTAGTGGCTTAGGAGTTCCCCTAAGCAGCTGCACAAAATGACCAACAGAAGAGGCAGGAGAGATGTCCTGCAAACACTGGATGACAGGGAATTATTGAGACGCTACAGATTGGATCGTGCAGGAATCATGTTTGTGGTGGATCTCCTTAGAGATGCAATTACTTCACCAACTCGACGCCACAACGCTATTACACCGGAGACAAAAGTAATCACAACCCTGAGGTATTTGGCAACTGGGAAAATGCAACAATGCAGCAGTGATGACTTGGGTCTGTCCCAATCCTCTGTCAGCAGTCATCACCCAAACACTGACAGCTTTGTCACAACCTAATATTGTGACACAATTTGTTTCATTCCCGCTGGATGCCTGCACTTTACACACACATAAAAGGGCATTTATGGACATTGCAGGATTCCCTGGCGTTGTGGGTGTAATTGATGGAACACATGTGAGAATAATTGCGCCATCAGAGGACGAGGCTGTCTTTGTTAACAGGAGGAATTTCCACAGCATCAATGTGCAAATAGTCTTCAATGATTTTGGACATTGTGGCTAAACGGCCAGGCTCCACACATGATGCGAGAATGCTCTCCGAGAGTGGCATCAGACAGCTTTTTGAGAGACGCTATGTGCCAGCTAATTGCCACTTGTTAGGGGACAGTGGCTACCCATGCAAACCATGGCTCCTTACACCTTACCTCCAGCCACGCCAAGGGCCCCAACTAAACTATAACAGGTAAGCCAAACAATACAAAAATCATGGAAATGAAATGTAAGCAATATGTTAGAGCATCCAAGTAGTGCAATATTTCCATCAAATAATTAAAGGTCTCTGTATTCTATTGTAGGGCCCACAAGACAACAAGAGCGGTGGTGGAGCGTGGCATAGGCCAGCTTAAGAGGCGCTTTCATGTTCTCCACAGAGAGGTGCAGCTGAGGCCTGAAAAAGTCAGCAAAGTCATCATAGCCTGTGCAATATTACACAATATTTGCAAGGTTAGACAGATTGCAGAACCTCTGGAGGATGGCGATGAGGATGAAGACAACGATGAGGATGGTGGTGAAGAAGATATTTACATTCCACAGGGGAACTTAGCCCAGAGTGGACTGCCTTACAGGGCAAACTTCACAAATTTACATTTCAGGCAAGCTGTAGCCCCATGTCTTTTGAGAACTTGTGATGGTATTAAGAACTACCACAGTTTTACTGCACATCACCTGCAATTGTTAAATGCAAGACACAGAACACAATCTGTAAATGGTTTATTTTTTAGGTGTTCAATTTTAAGGCGGTAGTACTCCTCCTGAAGGGAAAGGACTTTTTTTTTTCAAACACATCAATTGTGAGTTGCAATCTGCTCTCCTGCAGGGATGCTGACGGAGCAGGTGCTGCGGATGGGAATGGTGTTTGATCCGCTGGGCTATCCTGATATTGGGTCCCAGGCGCGCCTCTTGCCTTGGCTACTGACAGTTGGGACAAATTTTCCTCGTAACATACCTTTATGTTCGTTCACCAACTGGGCCAGCAACAAACCTTGCTCCTCAGTCCAGTTCGGCTTGCGAGTCCTTTTTTTTTCTCCATTTTCTGTGTTTGTAGGATATTTGTTAACAAGCCTTTATAAATAGACCAGCCAGCAATCACAGACATTGATAAAAGCTGAGCCGTGTTACCCTCGTTAAGACCACACTGGACTTGTAACGTTGTGATTTCCACTTCATTAAGGACAGCCCCTTGAGATAGGCCATCTTGTTTTCAATGGGGTCCATATGGGAGTGAAAGTACAAAATATGCCAGCTAGGATATTAATATGAGCAAATAAGACACGAATCATTATTTGAACAGGGTGTAATGAGTTTAAGTTTTCACATATTTTAGATTCTAATGTTAGGCTATAACCCCTACAGCTTACTATTCATTTTCCAGATATTTTCTTGAATGTGAAATATTATTTACAATTACAGTTAGCATAAGATTAGAGTGTATAATTATGTTTATTGATTTGAGGGTACATTCTTTGCTCATTATCACCAAAAGCTCATTTCCATCAAACTTGTAGGATCAACCAATCACGGCTTTTGAAATGATGACTCATACCTAGCAACGGGGTCAACCACACCTCCTCACTAAGATAGGATTTCCCATCCATTCCTTGCTCAGAGTTCACTGAAAATGTTCTGGAATCACTTCTAAGCTAAAACTCCTGGCAAGGAATTTTTAGGTTAAGTTAGGAGCTCTCTGAGAGGATTCTCAGAATCTTTAGGGATACGGGCCCTGGGTATTAGCCCCTCAAGACAAGATGATACATACCATTCCTTTTTCCAGTTACCCCCATCTCTTGTTGAATTTCTTTTCCGTTGTAGATCTGGCTTTCTTATCTTCTATACTATCCAACATCCTGTCGTTGACATATTTTTCTAATTGACCCAAATTCTCCATTTCAGGTGAGATTGCAATGTCCGCCATTATAGTCTTATTTAAATTCTCTTTTACTGTTTAATGTATTTTCATATTTCTCTTTTTTTTTAACGTTTTAATTGTTTTATCTGTTTTTATTTTTGTTTATCTTATAGGGATAAGGACTCCCTTACTCCCAGGTCTAATTATTTCTTTCCTTATTCCATTTCATTTCTCTTTTATTCTTTAAAACCAAACAAAAACAGCAGTTACTAAGAATTAAACAAAAAAATATACATTTTAAAATGATGAAAACGCAATGTTTTTCTCTTTTTCCAAAACTAGAAACCTCAACTTTAAAATTATTTTTGTTAAAGTAAAAAACTTTTAGAATTAAACATTTAAGACAGTAAGCAGCTGTGATATGACTGACTCTTTTGAGACCATTTTATTTCTAGTTCAAATTTTAGGCACAGCCAGGAACAAAACCAGGGAAAAATATTTTATTTCAAAAAATGGGAAAAACATGCAACGTGTTTTAGGCTTTCTCAGGGTAGTGAGTCACACCATTCCATTTTAGGAGGTGTCCATGGTCTGTACAGACTCCTCCAGCAGCTCCAGGTCAATTGGAGTTACAGCCTTGGTCAGGACACCTGTAGTTCCCTGTTTGTACTTGTAGTCGCCGGTTCTACAAAGAGATACATGGAATAAAGATTTCCAATTAAAAAAAACAAAAACCCCAGAGCTCATCGCTTCCATGTAACAAGTCTGTGCTGGCGCTCATTTAATACACGTTTCATTTTTATTAGCACAACATGCCACTTCATCTAAAGCACACTGCCATGCACATTAGTTAGGCGAAGTCACACTAAGCAGGCCCAGTGGACCCAAATCAGAAATGTGGTTAGTAGTCCACTCAGGTAAAGGTGACAGACTGTTAGGCTTGGACTACAAAAAATGCACTCTGTATACTCACAGCTGTAAGGCTTCAAGCTCAGTGACTCTTCAAGCAGAACAAGACAACAATTCAGCGTCTGATCATCAAATGCTGCTTGTCCACATGTCCAATTTAACACAAGTGTACAAGTGCAGCAGCTAAATATCTTGAATTCTCAGGTCTCATAGTGACTCACAGTCCCAAATGACAATTTATTAAAGGAACAGAACTTTCACTGTTCTTTACAATCCATTTGACTTGTGTTGGTCAGACATGAAGCAGCAGCATCTGCTCTTACAACTGGCTGCGTTTGAGTGCTCAACGCGAATTGTGTGACAACCTCAACTTTGAACTGAAAATCCCCCAAATATGAGACGTTTTAGTTCCCCAACACAAGAAACAACATGCCTCGAGTTTGCGTTCACCATGTAATCACAGTTAAGCACAGGGTACAAAATAAAATAATAATTCATTCGTTCATTTCAAAGGGATGGAGCCTTTCCAAATACCATCAGTCTATGACAATGTTAAAATGCAGATGGCAGCAATCACACATGCAGGACTAATGATTAATAACTCCAATAAGGTGACAAAAAACAAAACAAAAAGTGTCCTGGGTTTAAACAGTGACCAGAACTTGACAGCTGCCTCATAATGAATCCCCTCTGTGTGATGTCTGGGTGCAGGAACAGACATGGCTCTTTACAGAAGGACTGGCCACATTGATTGCAAACTCAAAACCAGCCAAGAGGTGATTAAAAAACTGATGCCAATGCAATGTAGGAAGAACACTGGCAACCACCAGCTCGACTCCTCAGCCTCTTAGTAGAGACACTTATGGTATCAATTTGAAAATACTACATCACTGTGTTCTTAAGTTATCACATTGAGAAGATTTTCAGAAAACTTACTCTGACCTTGAGATCAAGGTCACAGATTCAAACTCGTCCAAGACTTTTGGCAGATGCACATAATCAATTTGAAGCGCCTACGTTATCACATTCACAAACTTAAGTGTCCATGCCGCCCACCTGCCTGGTGGGGTGAGGACAACACCCCATCAGTCTTTTACAGCCGAGGGGTAAAAATTTGTAGTGGCCTGTTAAGGAGTACGTTTAGCAGAAGAAAGTTGTGTGAAATTTTTTACAAGTTGTTCATTTAGATACTTGTAAGGCTGCTTTTAGGGTCACAGCTTACCCCCTTAGTATGAGGAAAATAAACTTTGTGTCACTTCCTTCAGGCTGAGCAGGAGTTGGGGAGACAGAATCTGTAGTTATATTTAAAAACCAGAATTAACTCATCTGTTTCTGGGACTGAAAACTCCCAGAAAAACATTTCCATCAGCTCTGAATTATCCAACTCACGTCATCATGGTAACAACCTCAGGAAGGGATGAAATTCAGATGCTAATTCAAAAGCTAAACTATCGTTGCTGAAGCATTATCGTTCTTACCTGACACCTTTCTTGTTGGCCTCATCATGTGGTCTGATGTAGTTCACTTTGTTCTTGGTGATGACACACAGGTCGATGTTGCTGCCAGAGCCCAAATCATTAAAGATGCCTGCAGCAATGGCATCACGCACAAGCTGCTTGGCTGCATCCTCCTTTGGAAACAATTTTTTTTTTAAAAAATTAAAAATTACATCATCACTTTTTTTTTTTTTTAAATCTGCAGGTAGCATGTTGTGTCTATGTGAACTACTTGTCTGACCATGTCTTAACCTTTATTTTAGTATAATGGTCTGTAAAACATTGGGAAAGAGTTCAGTACTGTGTTTCCATTTGAAAGTGATTAACAAAATCTTCCTCCACTGTTATTTTTTTTTAATGTCACATGTGGTTACACGTGGTTTCATTTCTTTAAAATAGAATACGTGGCAAATCCTTCAGGTATTACACTCTTCTTTGGAACCTGCTCCCAGTTTGGGACATAATCTCTACTTTTAAGATTAAGCTTAGGCTGCTAACGTACTTGCATTTAAATGTCATTACTGCATGTTAGTTTCCGTTTTGTCCTTGTCTTTGCACTTTTTTCACCCTCTTCCCTTTCAGTGACCGATGGCTGCTGGAACCTTCCCAAGCATGACTCTTCTGGTGGTTTCTTCACATTAAAAAGGGAGTTCTTTGTTCCCACTCACCAAGTGCACCTCATAGTCTTAATGTTGAGGTTTTCTCTCTAATACTGTAGGATCTTTAGTTTACAATATCAAGTACCTTGAGGTGAGTCCTGTTGTGAACTGGTGATATATAAATAGAATTAATTAAACTGAATAAAATACATAAGTGGCAGAATCACCTCCATGTCAGGCTTGTAACGGTCCTCAAACACTGCCATGGCAGCTAGGGACCCGGAACCTGTAGGGGGAAATAAAATGTACATTACCAAGGTGCCAACTGCCATAATTAACCGAGTCAGAAAACATGACAAACAGAACACATTACCACTATAACTCATCTCCAGTCACCTGACACGACTCATTAAACACCATTAATCATGACTAAGAATCAATTCTGTCTGCATGAACCAGGTCACAGACCTATATTCATTCTTTTAAATGTGTAGGATCAGACTCTCATATAATCCTACTTCAAATACACCAAATTATTCCTAAATGAGTGAAAACAACTTTCCCAGTGAAAAGGTGAACAAGCTGGGTAACAGAAAGAAATGTGAAACCGTTTTACCCAGACTGCAACACCTCCTGACAGAAATTTAAATTTGTGAATTATCATTTTTATTTCATTTATTTTTTGCAATTTATGTTGGTCCGTCTATTTTAGTAGAAACATTTGTGACATTTTACAGGAAAATACCAGGATATATACATTTAAGACTATCAAACTAAAAATATCAATGTTTGATGTTTGGTTCATGTTGCCACTGTTGGTTTTACACAAATCCAACGACACGTAAAGCTGGAGCTTATACATGAGAGGCATATAGCAGTGTGTGGCACTGACCCATAGTAACATAGGGCAACTTGTCAGTGGAGCCGTGAGGGTAGATGCTGTAAAGATGAGGGCCATTGCAGTCTACTCCACCCAGGACCAGGGCAGCACCAATGTAACCCTGGTACCTACAAATACAATCACATATACCATTTTCTTTTTTTATATAAACTTTTAACAAGAGCAGAAATATGCAATGTAATTTGTTCCTCACTTTCTTTAGGACTACTATTACATGATAATACTGAGTTACAGAGAAGGAAGCGTATACCTGAACAGCATCTGTTTGAGCATGCGGTTGGCGGTGGCAACACGTGGCAGCCTGCCTGTGGAGAGGGAGTGCAACTCCAGGTTGGAGGAGATAAGCTGAGTGGTCATCTCTGTGTCTGCAGCTGTTCCTGCCCCACAGCAGCTGGACAATAATGCAGTTGCACCAGAATCAATGAGACATTAATTTAAAAAATAAATAAATAGGGATATTTTCTCAAAGCTTTGTGTGTACGTATAAGTATAAAATCTAGATTTAAAAGGAAAAAAAAAAAATCACAAAGCTCAAAAACCTGTTACTTACTAAATGTTTGGGGATATGTAGTGGATCTTGGAGCAGTTCTTGTCTGCTACTATCATTCCCTCAGTGGCTCGTGTGTCAGCTCCAAGGACAACTCCATCCTTCACGAAAAAAAACACAACACAACATTCAAACTCTAAAGAGCCACTCTGAAACACTGCTGGCTTTAGTGCTATTCCGCAAAGGTAAATAATAATTTAATACTTTGTTTCTGAACCCAAGTATCTTATAGTACGAGTATACCAATTCTGCAGAAGACTGAATTCTGATTAACTGTTTAATTCTTTAACAGTCAACAGTTTTTCATTATTGTAATACTTTGTTTAAATCTATTGAAAGCAAACTTTAAAAAAAAAAAAGTACCCTATGTTTATATGCACTCAACAATAACCCTGTCAGTGCGCCCCAGGGCAGCTGTGGCTACAATGTAGCTTGCCATCACCAGTGTGTGAATGTGTGTGTGAATGGGTGAATGACTGAATGTAGTGTAAAGCGCTTTGGGGTCCATGGACTAAATAAAGCGCTATACAAATACAGGCCATTTACAACACACTCGCTCCTAACTGACCAATGTGCAGCAGCCTGGTTTTGGTAGCTCACCTTAAAGACAACACCGCAGATTGTGGTTCCTGTTTTTCGAGCAGAAGGGACGCTGCAACCCACTTTGCTAGCTTCAATTTCCAAAACTGCATTTCTGTGAAGAAAAATATTACTGGTGCTGTAAATCAGACACAACCTAACACGACTGCACATCTACACAAACACAATTGTGTCATCTATTGAACATTTTTTACTTTCTACTGAAGCAGCCTTGCATCACAGTCAAAAGTTCAAAATATTCTTTACTTACATTGCCAATAAGCAAATAATACAAACATAAAAAAGCTTTAGTTTAGAATAGCACTCACAATGACAATAACAGAGCTCAGTTTTGTTTTTTGTCTCACATGTTTTTGAATTTCCAGAGCAAGATGGCTAGTTTTAATACATTTTCTTTAATGAGTCGCCTTTATCAGGGGAACAACGTTTAAAGAGCACATAGGTTTTAGAATATTAGTTCAGTTAGTTTTGCATTTCTATTTTATGTCAGTTAGGCAAAATGTTTTTCATATTTATATTATAACAACAATTTATATCATAACACGTTATAATATAAGGGTATATTATGTAACTATTATATTATAACATAACCATGTTATAACTTGTTTCAGTCCACTTTTCATGTCAATAACTGAATTGGGGGTCCGCTTCGTGTTTTTATCGTTTTAAATATTTTTTCTTTAGCTCATTTTGAATATTTATTTTAAATTCAGTTGCGTTTTAATTTGTTTATAGAGTACAAGATCCTGACTGCGAGTCGCTGGAAGCGGGTGAAGGAAGGGACTGCCGAATGTTGACTGGTTGACAAGTGTGCCGGAATAGAGCATAGTGATCGCGGAGTTGATCGTGAATGAGAAAACCCCGAAAAAAACGTCAAAGATAAAAAAGAAGAAGAAGAAAAGAATGAAAAGGACAGAGTGTGAACACCTTTTAACACTCAGTTCCACTTCAGCTCTTTATATGTTACGACCCAACAAGAGCGGACAGACACTGTCTATGCACACTTCATATTTAATTTAGCCAATTTTGCAATATGGTTTCAGTTAATCTTCATACTATTTCAGACGTCTCGTTTTTCATTTGGATGTGAGTTCATGTTTTTTTCACAACTAGCTAACCATAATCCCCTGATTGGCTAGGCTAGGCGGGGGGTTCGGGTTCCTAAATAAAAACTGCCAGGACCTGTTTTATTTTACCTAACCTAACGAAGTTCAGACTGTTTTTTTTTTTTTTTAAACGAAATGACTTCACTGCAACATATATAAAAACACACGCAAAAACCACTATGAACAGCAAAGCCTGTCGTGGTTTTAAACATGAGCGGCATGTGAATCGTTAATACTAACATGGGGGAAAAGCCTGAGTCACTGTGTGGAAGCCGAGTTAGCATCACTGGGAAAGCCAAACGAAAAGGCGACAAACCTAAGCGGCGTCCACATTTAAACAGTGGCATCTATTAAACTCAATGATGTACTTCCTCTGCTCTAATTTTCATTCGCGGAAAAACGCTCACCTTTTACAGTTGTCGAAACTGAAACCCCCGAAAGCTGGCCGGACTGCTGTCAGAGTCGCCATCTTAGTGAATGAATGCTGTATTTCCGGGAAGTAAAGGAAGTTGGTCTATATGTTATGGGGACCATATTGCGGTATGGCAAGCCAGAAGAGCCAAACATCGGCACCGAGTGGCGTTTTGAATGCCCCCACTTGAGTGGCAAAAAACCAAAAACGTACCACTGCTCAAATTATCTCAAGTCCTAAAAGCAAAAAGGCAAACTTAAGTTTCACATTCTTCTTTTATTAGAAATAATCGGATTATTATGATTTGTGTGGCATCAAATTTGATGCAGAACAGCTGATTGTTCTGTAAATAGTTTATTTAATGTTTATTTAAAAAACGCCTTGGCTGCATTTTTAGGTAAACAGCTGCAAAAAACTTTGTTTGCATAACTCAGTTACCTTTTTGAAGAAGTAACTATATAATTAATTGCCCAACATTGGTCATTATATATTGTATTTTGCATACAGAGAATTACAGGACTCTGTCCCAGACCCTAGACTCATACTCATAATATAAGTCAGAGCTTTATTATAAAAGAAAAAGAAGAAGAAAGTTTTGTTTTCAAAATTGGAGTTCAAGTTAACAATAGTGTTAACATACTACACAGGTCATGAACAAGATTCTTTTAAAATTTTCATTGTAAGTGGGCTAAAGCAGTTAATTAAAAGTAGTCCGACATAAATGTAAATGCTGTAATTTGATTATTTTAATAAACCATGTAACTTGGATGGATTCGATGCTGGCGTGACCACAGTGCACCAGGGCCGTGCAGAGACGTTTAAAGGGGCGGGTGCTCAAAGTTAAAAAGGGGCACATTGAACCAGGCTGAATAACAACTACATGTTCATCTTTTATGACACAATGAGAGAGAGAGAAGGAAAAGAGACATGGCAGACAGAAAGGTGACAGTCTCAGGTGTATAGACTATAACAAAACGGTAACAGGAGTATTTTCTGTTTGTGTTATTAGCAGTACTAAATAAGATCCCAGCTGGTGATCACATGTTTGACTTCTATGAATAAAGCACCTTTCTTTTAGCTTAAGGAGTAAACCATCAGCTCGTTAAAACAAACGTTAAAGTCCGTTTGGCTTGACACCACGGAACAGAGCCAGCGCAGTAATCGAGCTAACATTAACAGTGCTATGAATCCTGGTTGTACCGTGTATATTCGGGACTGAAAACCAGGCAGCATTCACAACCTGTCTGCATTTCAGCTTGTTCTGTTTGTGGATATAACACTGACTTTAATTGTCGAAAAACTCTTCACATTCTCTGTAAGATTAAAGTTAACCATTGAACGCCGTATATTTTAAAGGCTTTAAAACCAAGTAGAACCTGAACCGCGTTAAGTACTAACACCACTAATTTTGCCGACATGTGGCCAACAGTATTGTTTTAATGTTCTTCGTTATTAAAGCATTTGTATCGCTCCATAAATAACAGATCGTGTCACATGTCCACATCAATGCTCCCTCTATTTTTTCATGTGTATGAGCGAACATACAAACTCCCTGAGCGGTCTCTTGTGAGCAACAGCAGACGTGTGTACTGCAGGAACGTGCAGAGGGGGGGGGGCTAGAGGGGCTTGAGCACCCGCCCCTTTCCTGATGAGTGCCCAAAGTGCCTTTTTGTTGAGGCAACTTTTAAAAAATTTTTAATGTGTGTGTGCGTGCGGAGTCCTGTCTGTGCCCCTCAACAATAATATTTAACTATTAATCACAGTTTTGCTAAATAAAAGGATCTGGCTTGCATCAGTCACATGATCACATTTAACCAATGATCGCCCTTGACGGCAGAACGCGCTGGTTACGAGCCGGGAACGAGCTCACAAAGAGCACGCGCATTTTTTAGCGGTCCGGAGCTGTAGGAGAAACACAAGTTAACTCAGAGACACAGACTGATGCGACAAAACCAGTAAGTAGGTGTACAGCGTACACTGTAGTGTGTAGCACCAGGAGTATTAGCTTATTACGTACACGTTGGTAAGCTGTCTTGTTGCAACTGACGAACTGAAACAAACGAGCGTGCTGTGTGTGCAACAGCGCGACAAACATTACCTGTCCTTTTATTAACTGCACAAGTAGTGCTGGTCATAGCTGCTGGCTACCTGTGTAAGGCTGTCATGGGTCTGTAGCTCTGTCACCGTTTTAGGGAACATATTTAGTTTTAAAGTATTTAGAAACATATTTAGTTTTAAAGTTTTAGAAACAATTAGTTAACATTTAGTTTTAAAGTAAGTTACCGGGCTTTTCCTGCCTTTCTGGAGGGATTATATTTCACTAAAAAACTGATCTAATATGCAGTCCACATAATTATGCATTATTATAATTATAATATATTAAAAAACACTCTGTATTTTAAAGAACATACATTAAGAAGCAGATTATATTAGATTTATATTTTAAATAAGACAATTTGGATTTTACAGCAGTAAAAATAAGCTTTGCCCTGCACAGAGTGGATAGTGAAACAAATGGAATCATCATAATGACATTATTTCATATTTATTACTTCCCCCTCCTCATTGCTTTATTATTGTAGCTCTAGTAATAAATAATAATGTAAGGATTCTGGATCAGCACCATGATGCCCATAGTATATACAGTATTCTGAAGAAGGTCTAAAATGTCACTGTGTGTGCGTGCATGTGTGTGTTTTATGTATATGGATTTTTTTAAAATTATTACTCATGATATAACATTGTCCAGACATGGCTGGTAAGGACATGAGGAGGAAAGCAGAGCTGTGTGAGGCTACTAAAGGCAGTGCTATAACATTTTTCTGTCATCATTTTATTATAGATTAAGTGCAAGAGTTGTTAGGTGTGGATAATTAGATTATAGTTTATTGCAATAGCAAGTTGTGCCTTGTTCTCAGATAGACAGCAAGTGGAGAGTGATATATGAAATGATGGGAGAATGATCTCTCTCTTT